TTTATATATATCGGGTATTTTGGTAGTTTACCATATATATCGAGCCGCTCGACAATGTAAAATATGGGCTCGAACTCGACCCGAGCCGCTCGAGCTCGATTCGAGTTCGGTCAAACTCAAGCTCGAGCCGAACTTTGACTCGAACGCTCGCGAGCGGGTCTCGAGCCGCTCGACTCGTATGCAGCCCTAGTTGTTACCCCTATTATAACATACAGTATCATATAAAACCATTAAATTTATGGAATGACTAATGCTTAACCGTTTAATTTACTTCGAAACTTTATCAAGAATGGTTATAGATTTATAGATGATAACGAACAAAAGTGATAACAAGAAATTTCTCACGGTGAAATAGAATCCAAGATGGTCTCTGTTTGTTATCAACCTTAGTGCCACTGGAAACCGAAGAAAGCCGCATTCACCCAATCAAGAAACGACATCATTCTCTTGCATTGGATTGAATTTTATTAATTTTATATTATTTTATTCATGTCATCCAATAATTAAGTTTATTTCCATACCACATGTAAAACTAGACTCAATGCACTGCTCAGATAATAGTTGAAATTTTAATAAACCGCATCCATAAATAAGCTATAAGCTACCCACCACATCCTTTATTTTATTTTTGTTAAGTCCATCAATATAATGACAAATAAAATCTCCATACAGCATTGGTCCATCACAATCAAACACGACCACTTAAATCTCATTTCACCTACGAATTCAATAAAAATTCAATAGACAGATATAATAGTCATTCTTTTCCCATAACAAACACAAAACACATGCACAGTAAGAAAAAAACCTTAATAATAATAATAATAATAATAATAATAATAATAAACAACCCAAGACAAACTTCACTCGCTGTTAGCTTTAGCAGCAACAACAACAATAATAAGTAATAACAATCAGATTCCCACCATCCTCGGAATATACTGGAACAGAGCACTAAAAGGGGATCATGTTTTGAATATATTGGAAATTGTATCATTCGTTCCGTGTGTGTGTCCAATGATTCAAAACGAGATAGGAAAGAAGGACACACTTCTTTTCCACAAGGATGTTCTGCAAAACTCCAGATTTAACAGTACTTGAACTAATAGGAGTTTCTCATATTGAAAAATAATCATCAGAACAAGAGTATCACATTCAAATATCATAAAAACAGTCGTGTTCGCATTAACACACGTATTTTCTTTCAATATTGAAAATGCTTAATATCACCATGGATCATATTGCAAAGAGTTGAAACAAATAAACCTAAAAGGCTAGAGCACCATTCTCATTTCTGAAACGCTAATAAAGCTCTTGATTCATTTGAATTCAGATTCTGGAATATTTACATGATTCGAAGCATCCATTATCCGGTCAAGTCATATACCGACATCGAACCCTGCAAAAAATATAAAAAGCAACGATATTTTCAAGAATGCATATCTTTCACATTTGAAATATCAACTGATACAATCCATACCTAAGTTTACCCGTTTCTCTCCAAGAAACTTTCTCTGTTTTTTCCCACACTCCGCCGCCATTTTTCGCACCCCATTTTCAAAAATCCGAATCCCACTCTCCACACTCAATTTCTTTAATTCTTCTACCCGCCAAAAACTCCATATCCTCCCGAATCAAATCCCTATCCACCCTAAACCGCTCGGCCCTCATCTTCTGCCCCTCATTCAACAACTCGATAAATTTATCCTTAATTTCAAGAATCGGGTCGCGATCTACCAACCCCTCACCCTTATACGCCTCCCTCAACACAGCAGTCTGAATCTTACCCTTTAGCGACATGTAGAAAATCCCCGAATGCCTCGTGAAGACACTCGCAAACGCATTCGAGAATCTGTACTCGTGGCAGAATTTCCCGAGCACATCCACCGGGACCCGCTTGTGGACTGATAGCGAGAGCAGCTCGTGAAAAACACCGACCATCCTTTTTTCCATCTCTGGCGAGGCCGGGCCCAAACTCGAGATGTCCTCGTAAGGTGAAATGTAAGGCAATTCCATCCAGTCCTTAACCCATTCCTTCATTTCCCTCTTTATGAAAAAGCCCGGAGGAAGCTTCCAGATGAACTCGGGCCTAACCCTAATCCCGGTTGCTTCGTACTCATCGTCTGCCCGTTTTTCGATAACCGAACGGGCAAAATCGTTATTCCATTCGACTAGTTCGAGAAAGGATTTTCCTTCTCCGGGCTCACCGTACAGCCTGAAATATTCAGGGTATTTTGGTACCAAATTAACCAGAAAATCATCGGGAAAACCGAAATCTCTCTTCACCTCGAATAATTTATCGGCGCTGATGACCTTGTCCTTGGCCATCATCAGCAGTTTACAAAGCTTTTCGACGGCCCGCGGCTCGTTTGCCTTGTAGATCGCTTTCTCTTCCTCCAGGAACCGGTTCAGCCGGTCGCTGGGTCGGATGAAGGTAGTCGGGTCGGAATTGGGCCTGACCCTGTCCTTGTAGGCATCGAACAAGCCCGGGTATTGGTCGATAAAGGTTCGAGCTTTGACGTGCAGGCGGAGGCGCGAGCGGCGGTTTTCCAAGTACCGGAGGGGGATTGCCCGGCCCGGTTCGTTTATGACCTCTCTTACGACCCGAGCACAGAGCCGCCATTTTTTGTCGTTCTCGATGGCTTGATCGAGCTTGTGGTCCTTTCGCCACACGACTTTCACGGAAGAGATTGAGGCGGTGAGCTGGAGAAGAATGTGAGGGGAGATTGGCTTGTGGATTGGGGATCGGAATAAAGGTAGTGAGCTGAATTTGGGCAGCATTAGATGGGTTTGAAAGAATTTGAAATCTAGGGTATTGGGGGTTAGGGTTTTATGATTTTTGAGGATGTTAGGATTTGAATGGGGGAAGGGAAGAACAGAACTCTCTGATATTTACAACAAATCGAACAGTTAATTAGTTAAAAGAAAATTAAGAGTTACGAATATTTATCATATGTATGAATTGATGAATACTCCAGTATTTTGTTGGAAAACATATAATNAAGAAAACGTGTAAATGACCACTTAAATTAATGTGAGAAAAGAAATAGACCCTTGCATTTTTTACTATTTTTTGAAATTTTCATTTGTAAAAATACACTATTTAAATAAAATTATACATTAATCATTAGAAATATAATTACAAAGAAAATATATACAGTATAAAAGTAATGATAGTAATAAAACAAAATTTATTATTCTTAAACATTAATGTTTAATATATTTATAATAAATAAAATCTTAAATGTGTAATAAAAAGATATTATTACAACACCCGCGTACTACATGAGTATTAAATTAAAAAATATTTACATTAAAATATTTAAAGTTAAACATAAAAGATATATTTTAATTTTTTTTTGAACTTTTAAAATTGCATTGTTAATTTTAAAATGACGCTAGAGTGTTATACATTAACATAATAATTTTTGATGACATTATTTTTTCAAATTTTAAGGAAACAATTTTAAGACCATTTGCAATAATCAAAACAAATTATATAAAAACAAGATATTAAATATGCTAATTACCTAAATACATTTAATTGATCGCACAATTTGCAATAATCAACATGCTAATGCTAAACATCACGCAGAAACTCTTGTTAACAAATAAACAAATTGGCATGTAGGCAAACACAATGTTGTCGATACAATAACCCTCTAAATGTCATTTTGGAAAAAATACCGTTTTATACCGGTTTCATACTAAAAAATACCGGCAAAAATATATGATATATATATCGGATTTAAAAAAACAACATATTATTATATCTTTATCAATTTATTTGCAAAATTCTATACTTTGCTTTAACATGTATATTAATTTTTAATAAATTTTAGTATTTATAAATAAACCCACTATCGTAAGAGTAGATAATGCTAATCGTTTGTAACCAATATCATAAAATAATTGTCATATTATCTTAATAGTGATTTGTGCAAATAAACAAGTTATTTTTTATTTTAGTTATCTATGTTTTGCTACATTTATAATTTAGCTTTAAATTCAATACTTACTTGTAGACCATCTACTTCAATTTATCTCTTTGAGATATTTTATATTATTTTTTTAATTTCAATGCATGAGAAGAAATTGATAAATAAATAAACTACAAAAGTAAATACAATTATACCAAAAATGAAAAGATATTATGAATGATATAAATCATTAGTAAAATAAAATAAGGAAATAATAATTTGTGGGATCTTTAAAATTTAAGAAAATTTTGATAATAAAATAGATTGATGTGAGACAATTATGTATCACTAGCTTAAACGAGCGGGGTATGACATAAGTTTCTGGAAAAGTAGATAAATAAGTGTAAACAAATTTTGTTTCCAAATTTTTTATTGAACCTAACTAAAAAGCATAATATTGTGATATATATGATTCCAAAACATGTGAGTTTGCCACTTAAACTCAACAAATTTTGAATTAACATATAAGGAGATTTGTAGATGAACATCCTAATTTCTTTATCAAAGAGAGAGAGAAAGAAAAAAAGTTAGGCTTAAAATTTTGTAAGTTGTGTACTGGGCTGAACAAGCAAATATCCACAACAAAAATTATCAAGGCCCAGGAATGTGTAATCACTTAGCTTGTGGGCTTTTAAAATTGAAACAACAACGTAACAATTAAGGCCCAAACAGCAAAATAATCAATAATTATTTCCTTGCTTTAATTTAGCTGTTAACTCATTAATGATTAAACCATCCATACGTTATTAGACACGTTATCCACTCCTTTTGTTTGACTGTGACATATGTCACAACTGATTTTTGTGAAACTTTGTCTTAAAAAGTGTGATTAACAAGTCTATAGCAACTAAACACGATTGTTTCTATAATTAATAATTTTAGTTGTGAAGCATTTAAATGTGGGACAGCTTATAGTGACAGCAAACTTAAACACTAGCAGATCTGAAAGGCATCATTATTGATGTAGTCCACTATTTTATGGAGATTTGAGTTAAAAAGGCTTGGAAATCTAAAAAAGTTTTGAATTGGAATTGCAGATTACAAAAATCTAATCTCCACAATTGAACTAAATGTCAAAATAATTTGAAGACTATATACATAGTTGTCATTCGAACATAATGGTTTGTCAACACAACTCAATAGTGTAAGCTCAGTCTACTTAAAATAGTTTAGGTTGAACAACTAATTGAACTCGTTTATTAGATGAGTCACGTATTCAGTTTGTTTGCAAGCAACTCGTTTATTTTCTTTAATTTTTCTGTAGGTTTTGAACGAAGAATCATGTCGAGCATGTTAACCAGTACACGTCAATGTTGTGTTTGTTAAACGAATCAAACATTTTCGTTTACTAAACTAGTTTGGCTAACTCGATTAACACTCCTAGGGGCTGTTTGTTTGTAAGTTTATTCAATTTATACTCAATCCATACTAAAAAATTAACTCAACTTTAACTCACTTCACTATCTCTAATATTATCTATATAATTAAATTATATCAAACAATCATTCTTACACTTCATATCAATTTTAATTCATTATTAATTCATTCACACAATTTTAACTAAACATCACTTCAGATTATCCCTCTCATACTTTTACATAAAATCAATTTTAATATTTTATTTTAATATAAACTCAAAATCTCGCTATCAAGTAACCATACAGTTTTTTTCAAAATTAAATATGATTGAGATTTCGAGCGATATTTTGAAACTTTTTAATAATTGAAATTTTTTAAGATTTTTAAATGTAAAAAGAATCTTGTGAAATCTTAAGTTTAGAGGTGGAATTCGGAGTAATATTTCATATATATTTTTTTCTTTTGACATCTTAGTATCAAATAAGTTAAATAGCTAAGAATTTTGTAAAACTTTTTTAAAATCTCCAATAAATATGAAGACTTTTAAAAAGTATTAAAAAGTTTAAATTAAATAGAACCGAATTTCTAAGGTTAGTTTCAACATATAACTTCTATTTTTAATATTGCCAAAATTAAGAAAAAAAAAGGAAAAATAAAATAAATAAACTACCCTCATAAATTTTGGTTTCATTCCCTATATTAATGCTAATAAATAATACCTCAGTCCTTCAATAACAATTAAAAACCAAATAATAAATAAACAAAATAAAATACTAACATTCACTGACCCACGGGTCAAAAAAACGCCTGCCAAAGTCTCCAACTCCGTTTGACTGCCTTCCCTCCGCCGTCGACCGTCGCCGGAGAATCCATAGCACAACCTCAGGATCCCGCCACGTGTCACCAGAAACGACACTGACTCGCCTCTCCGTGTCAATTTCAAACCCACATGTCGACGTCAGCGCTCACGCACTTTTAATCCCCCGATTTATTGACAATCGGCAAACTAGAAAGGTGTCTCCCACTTGCCCCTTTCTTTATTGCGCTTAAAGTTTATCTCTTTACAATACAAAAAGGGCGTGAAAGGTACAGTAGCGTTCGGCGACTGCTGGGATTTTGTCCCTTTTTTCTCCGATGACGGGTTTATCGATGAACACGGCGGCGGTGGCGGCGGCTATGGGCGGGATAATAACAAGGTCTTTTTACGGTGACTCGAACGACGTCGAATTTGATAACCCGATGTGGTTTGTCTACGCCGGCGTGTCGTGTTTCCTCGTTCTGTTCGCCGGAATAATGTCCGGTTTAACTTTGGGGCTGATGTCCCTCGGACTCGTCGACCTCGAGATTCTCCAGCGCAGCGGCTCCGCCGCCGAGAAGAAACAAGCTGGTACCTTTCTGATATATTTATATAATGGGTTTTTTATTTGCTTTGGAATATTCCCTTTTTTTATATATATGTTGATTTTTCTTTGCCAGCAATTATAGTGCCGGTGGTTCAAAAGCAGCACCAGCTTCTAGTAACTCTGCTGCTCTGCAATTCTGCTGCCATGGAGGTTAGTTTCTGATTAAACTGGGCTATAATTGAATTAAATTTATCTTGAAATTCTGAGGGATTTTGCAGTTTGCACTGGTGTTGATGAAGAATCTATAGGAACTTGATAAAGATTTCAATATGTGAATATGATTGCTGGAAGCTGACTTGTTTTTTCGAATTCATAGTTTTTATATTCAAGACATTCCCCTATTCAAAGTGTATACATACTGATATGTTTAATTGCTGAGTTGATTTTGTTTATGTAGTTTTGTTAGTTTTAAATGAATGTTTGTGTGTAGGCTCTTCCAATATATCTGGATAAACTATTCCATCCCGTTGTGGCTGTCATTCTCTCGGTTACGTTTGTTCTGGCTTTTGGTGAGGTACACCTTTTTTAACTTCTTACTCATGTAACACTAACAATTTATTGAAATTAACAGTTTATTATCATGTCATTTTTTGATTTTTGAGTAGATAATACCGCAAGCTGTGTGCTCGAGATATGGGCTGGCTGTTGGGGCAAATTGTATGTGGCTCGTACGCGTTTTGATGATAGTTTGTTATCCTATTGCTTTTCCAATTGGAAAGGTCGGCTTTTTTCACGTAGATATTGCGAATAAATTTTATAACCTTTTTTCTTTACTTTGTATCTCGCGTTCTTCCTCTCTGTAGTTATTTTTCTTTTATGTTCGCATTAATCGATTTTTCACTGTTTTTGTGTGTTTATAGATTCTGGATTATGTGTTGGGCCACGATGATGCATTGTTTAGACGGCCTCAGTTGAAAGCACTTGTATCCATCCATAGCCAAGAGGTGAATGGCCTTTTCATCACTAAGCTTCAATAACAATTTTTTTTTTTTATTTTTTCGTATATTTCATTGATTCTTTTTTATTTTTATTTTCAATTTGTTTTTTCTTTTTGGTTTTATATTTTTTCTTTGTGTGGTTAATGGTATGATTAGGCGGGTAGGGGTGGTGAGCTAACGCACGATGAAGCTACAATCATTAGTGGAGCACTAGATTTGACAGAAAAGGTGTGTTCGAATAGAGAGATACGAAGTTTAGTTACTTTGTTTTCTTTTACGCATTATTAGTTATTAATTTTTTTTAAGGACATGATGCTAAAATTACACTCAACGAGACATCAATTTATGTTTTCATGAACGGTCTGTATAAAATTTGTATGACAAAAATTTTTCGTCTATTTGAGCATTTTTCAGACAGCGGAGGAGGCTATGACGCCTATTGAATCAACTTTTTCACTCGAGGTCAATTCAAAATTGGATTGGTGAGTTACATTTCTTTTTTTGCTTCAATTTTGCAAAAAGTATTTGTCCCCAAGTGTTTTATGAATAACTTAGAGTGTGATTGGTTATAAACTCAAC